GACTCAGCCCCCAGCCCTAGGGCTGACCCAAACTCAGCCCCCAGCCCTAGGGCTGACCCAGACTCAGCCCCCAGCCATAGTGAAAATCCGGATTAGGGCTAAAGACTCTTCCACAGCCACCACCGCCATAGCCTCTCTTAGAGATGTAGTAGAGAGACCGCTCTTTCGGGGAATAGTTGGCCTGCGTGAACACAGATGCTGGTGCCTCTGGCTTGGCTCTCTAAGACTGTAGTGCTGTTCTAGAATCTGCACAAATTGGGAATACATCCAGTACGAACTGTATCCAACCAAAAGCAAAATGGTGCCAATTTTATGCTTGGGGCATCTGTAAGCATGGAATATCGGGGAAAGCAAATGGGACATGCAACTTTGAGCATTCCAGAAAATGCCGCGACCTCCTGTCTAAAGGAGTGTGTCGTTCTAACTCTCGTAAATTCTTTCACCCTGCTATGTGCCACTCTTCAGTCCTTAAAAAAACAATGTTACGACACCAACTGCCTCACATACCACTTAAAGGGAGCAGGAGGCACACACCCTGTAAAACAAATCATAGTAGTTATAACAACTCCACTCCAAGTCATTTTTATAGTGGTAGGAAACGAAGAAAGAAAATGGAAAGAAATAACTAAAACAGTTCCCTACCTTGGAGCCTTGTTAGACTAGAGGCACAGCCAGTGGCCCCTCCAGACTCACAACTACCGATGCCAACAACAATATCCCCCCAACAAACAAGCAACATGACCTCATTAACATTTGCTAATATACAGCAGGGCCTTAAGCCATCCACCAACAACAAAATACCTTTCATCAGTGGACTTCTAAAGAAGTCAAATGCAATGTTTGCAGCATTCACAGAGACCCACGCCAAAGATCACTTTGACAATGAAATATGGATACCTGGATACAACCTTTTCAGATGCGACAGAAAGAACAGGAAACAAGGATGAGGGGGGGAAGGGAGAGGGTTGGCCTATGTGTCAGAGTCGCTTATTTGCACAGAGATACTGAACACCACAAATGATGTAGCTGAAGTTCTAACAATAAAAATCAAGAACCAAAACTTAGTTATTGTACTTGTATATAAGCCGCCAGATGCAACTTCCCAACAGTTCAAGGAACAGCTATCAAAAATTGACTTTTGTCTTGAAAACCTTCCAGCCCCATCCCAAAACATCTTGCTGCTTGGTGACCTCAATATAAGACATACAAAATGGAAGAATGTAGCAAATAATGTCGTAGCAGAAATAATCCCTGGAGGCAGCTCGGATGAAAAGTCACACACAGACATGAGCTGCTGAATTTCTGCAATAAATACACCCTAAGTCAGCAGACAGTGGAACAAGCAAGACTGGACAACACAATTGACCTTATTTTCACAAATAATGAGGACCTGGTGAGAAACATAACAATATCAAAAACAACTAATTCTGATCACAATCTAATCGAAGTCCAGACTTACATGCACAGGGTTCCTGATCAACAAAATGCATACAGCTATGAGGGTACCTTTACCAAATTTAACTTCAACAACAAGAACATCAACTGGGACCAGGTAAACTATGTCCTACATGAGACATGTTGGGAAGATTAAATAACATGGATCCTAACCAATGCTTTGAAAAGATCAACTTTCTGGTAGCTGAATTATGTTCAAGGCATATTCCCCTAAAAAAAAAAAAAAGTAAACTGGAGAGAGACGCTCCTTCTACAGGAGATGGCGAAGAAGGAAAGAAGGAAGTGCTAACCCGGGAAGTGGAAAATATTGAGCTAAAGTTAAAGGACTCATACAGGATCCAGGAGAGACAAGAGGAACTAAAAGCGATTAGTGAAACTGAAAGAAATTTGAAATATTTCTTTTCATATGACAAAAACATGTCAAAAACCACTTCTAGCATAGGCCCTTGCTCAGACAAGACGAATTTCCTACACAGATACCAACAAAGAAATGAGTGAGATACTGAAATCCCAATATGACTCTGTGTTCAGCAAGCCACTAAAAAGACTAAATATAGACAATCCAAATATTTTTTTTCCATGAATGAGCCTCAAAACCCTGTCAAATATATGCCAAATTTCTGACATAACACTAACTCCACTAGACTTTGAGAAAGCCATTGACAACATGCCCATACACTCAGCCCCAGGCCCAGACTCGTGGAACTCTGTGTTCGTTAAGAGCTGCAAGAAACCCCTCTCACGGGCCCTAAGTATGCTATGGAGAAGGAACATAGACACAGGTGAGATTCCACAGTCAGCAAAAACAACGGAAATAGCCCCACTCCATAAAGGTGGTAGCAAAGCAGTAGCTAAGCACTATCTTTAAAAGAGTTCTAAGAAGCACTTGGACTCCCAACAACTGCACAATCCAGGGCAACATGGGTTCAGAGCAGGTCGCTCCTGCCTCTCGTAAATACTGGACCACTATGATATGGTCTTGGATGCATTGGAAAACAAAAAGAATGCGGATATAGTATACACAGATTTTGCAAAAACCTTTGACAAGTGCGATCATGGTGTAACAGCACACAAAAAGCATACCAAAGGGATAACTGGCAAAGTAGGCAGATGGATCTTCAACTTTCTAACGAATCGAACACAGAGAGTAGTGATAAAACAGAGTTAAATCGGATGCTGCCGTAGTGAAGAGCTCTGTTCCACAAGGCACAGTACTCGCCCCTATCCTGTTCCTCATCCTCATATCAGACATAGACAAAGATGAAAACCATAGCACCGTATTGTCCTTTGCAGACGATACTAGGAACCACATGATAGTATCATCCAATGAGGACACGGCAAATCTCCAAGAAGATATAAACCAAGTTTTCCAATGGGCAACGGAGAACAATATGATGTTCAATGAAGTCAAATTCCAGCTACTCCGTTATGGAAAACTGGAGGAAATAATAACTAGGACTGAGTATACAACAAACTCTAATCACACAATAGAGCGGAAAAGTAATGTGAAGGGCCTGGGAGTGGTAATGTCTGAGGACCTCACCTTCAAGGGTCACGAAAGTGCCACTATTACATCTGCGAGGAAACTGATAGGCTGGCTATGAGAACACTCAAGACAAAAGATGCCAAGCCATTGATGATCCTTTTTAAATCACTTGTTCTCTCTAGGCTGGAATACTGTTGTACATTAACATCTCTATTCAAGACAGGTGAAATTGCAGATCTAGAGAATGTACAGAGAACCTTTACTGCACATATAAGTTCCATCAAACACCTTAACTACTGGGAACGCCTGAAAGCACTTGAACTGTACTCAGTGGAGTGTACGTGAGAGAGATGCATCATAATCTACACCTGGAAGATTCTGGAGGGACTGGTCCCTAATATGCACACAGAAATCACTCCCTAGGAAAGCAAAAGACTTGGCAGACGATGGAATATACCCCCAGTGAAAAGTAGGGGCGCCATTAGTACACTAAGAGAAAACACAATAAGTGTCCTGGGCCCAAGACTGTTCATTAGTCTCCCACCAGCCATAAGGGGAATTACCAATAGACCCCTGGTTGTCTTCAAGAGGGAGCTGGACAGATACCTAACCAAGATACCGACCAGCCGAGCTGTGGTTCATACGTTGGACTACGTGCGGCCAACAGTAACAGCCTCGTTGATCAGGACCTGACCCACCAAGAGGCCTGGTCATGGACCGGGCCGGGGAGGCGCTGATCCCCGGAATACCCTCGAGGTAGACTTCAGGCAGCCCTCCAGGCAGGTTCCTGGTGATGGAGGTTTTTGATGCGAGGAAGTGGAGGTATCCCTCCTTTTTTTCATCATCTATGGGTCGAACACGATAGTGTGAGTGACTCTGGATGCAAGGGGCTGGACCTGCCTTTTCCACTTCTATGGGTCGAAACTCTTTGGCCACGATTCATCCCAGTGGTGTATGACTGCTATGAGCTATCGCTTCCTACTAAATATACTACTACTATTATTGTTACGACTACTACTACTACTACTATTACTACTACTAAAATTAGTATTACTGCTACTACTAGTACCAATACTACTGCTACTACTACTTTTACTATTAATGTTGTTACTACTACTACAAGTAATAATAATAATAATAATAATAATAATTAATAATAATAATAATAACATAATAAAAAACAACAACAACAACAATAATAGTCATAATAATAATGATAGTCATAATAATAGTCATAATAAGTCATAATAATAATAATAATAATAATAATAATAATAATAATAATAATAATAATAATAATAATAGTAATAGTAATAATAATAATTAATTAATAATAACAGAAGGGAGTCGCAAAATCGCATGATCCGACCGATTTTTTATCAAAACGATATAGTTTATTAGCCTGGCTCATCAATTTATGCCAATTTTAAGCTTAACTTGTGGTCTAGGTTAGTTCAGAAGACATATGCATTATTGCATGTATCTGTCTATGTGTCTGTCGTCTGTTTATGTTAGCTGCATCATTGAAGTTTACAGTCTTGAGAGCAACAGTGAGCGAGCAGCAGCAGGCTTCAAGCTAGCGAGATTACCTCGTTTACTCCAAGACTCGCCTCTCTACGTTACTATATATTTACCCGTCGCAAACCTCACACACACATTACAATCGTGTTAATATTACTGGGCTCAGGACAAACACAGCATAAAGCCTGATGCTCGGGGGGGACCCCTGGAAACTTAAGCCAGCGCCAGCCTGAATCTGACACAACCATTGGATGTAAGAGACCCGCCAGCTTTCTCATAATTCGCTGCCCGTTATAACAATAGCAGTTATGTTTGTATTCCATTACGTGGCTCCTCCCTGGAGGAGGGACCGCAGAGCAACTCCGCCTACTTCCTCTGGTTCTAACGCTGGCCGCTGGAGGACGCTACGAGACGTAGAATTTTTTCTCCCCCTTCTGTTACTCTGAGACACTGACAGACGTTCTGCTACTATCTTCTACAGACGTATTTGTTAGTTAATTTCATTATCTCTAAGACGGAAATTGACTTTAGAGGCAAAAATGCGGTGGAGATGTGAGGGACGGCGTTTCGGGTATCCATGGAAGTGGGATACAGCTGTATTCTGGGAGATAACGAAAAGATATTAATTGGGTAGGCGGAGTCGCGTCGGAGTTAACATGGTGGCAGCCAATAGAGAGGAACATTTGCACCTGGCTGTTGGCCCAGCCACCAATCCCGGGGCTGGCCCAACATGGCCATCCAGGCGGTAAGGCTCCATGTGTTGTTCATGTAGTCAACATCGTGTAAGTGTCAACATTACTATCAAGGCTTCCTGTTCGCCTTCCCTGCGTGCTCATGGGAACTCCTGCGAGCGTAGTACCTCGTGTGAGCGAACTACGGCGCCGTGTTGGTGTGAAATATTGACTGCTGGAGAGATAGAGCGAGGCATAGCGCCGGGGATGGTAGCGCTGGGGACGGAGTAGCGCAGTGACGATGCTCTACTGCTGCAGCTGCTGCTGCTGCGCCGCCGCCGCTGCTGCTGCTGCTCTGGCGGCTGGCGATTGTCATGATTCCCACGCCGTCTACCGTCATTCACACGCCTACACGCCCCAAGTTGGGCTTTTCTATTGACAGCATCGTCGGGCGTGGAAGGGTAGAACCCAGGGAGTCACCGCCCCCCTCGCCAGGCTCCCCCAGAGGGAGCCCACGCCCCAGGAGCCCCCTGGCGCCTCTCCACGACCTGCACAAGACGCAGGTACGCATACCGGAGCCCATACACCCGCTGGTACCCACGTCAGTGCCCACGTCGCTAGCCCACCACCCGGGTGCCATCCCGCCCCTGCAGGCCTTACCAGGCCTGCACATGCCACAAGCCCTACACCTAGCAGCCCTGCTGCCCCCCGGGGCTGCCCATGGCATGCACCATAGTGTGCCCCCGGTGTTACTGGGCCAGATGCCCCATCTGGGCACCCCATTACCACCGGCGCCCGGACCCAGGGAGTTCCCGCTGTACCCTTGGCTTCTCTCACGACATACGAGGCTCTTCGGCCACAGGTTTCCAGGTAAATACAACTGCTCTTGTACCCGCACCTCGTCTATACATTGCAGCATTAACACGGTGGTCCACCGCCCATGCACGCCCACACCCCGCCCAGACTACCAATATTAATCGTATACGCCCACACTATAATCATATAATTTATATAATTATCGTTATTATAACTTATTATTTTATTATTATAATTATTATTATTATTATTATTATTATTATTATTATTATTATTATTATTATTATTATTTTTATTATTATTATTATTGTTGTTGTTAACAATAATAGTAATAATAATTACCATTGAAATTACGATAATAGGAAGGGCACAGCTTTATTGCACACCGCTACCTGCAATGTGCTCAACACTGCCAGTGTTTATCAGTATAGTGTTCACAGAGGCATCAACCTCGTGTTTTAAGTTTGGTTGGACTTGCTTCGTTTCCATTCACACTTTTTTTTTTTTTGGTTGGGGTTTGAAGCCTATCGACTACAGGAGGGTCGTGCATTTTAACCTGCTAAATACCGGTACAGGAAGTGAGAATTTAAAAGTAAATTCTCAGTGTATATACTTCACACTAATACACATCTCTGAGTAGTATATACACTTGAGAGATATACACTTCTAGGTGTATATACACAGAGATACACACACCTCTCAGAGAATATACACTTGAGATGCATACTTCTTCGGGTATATACACTGAGGAATACATCGACGGGGAAGTTCATTATCGGGAAAGATTGTATATTGCTGTATTATATACGTGTATAATTATGTACGACTTTATGTGTATAATCGTGTATGATTTTATATGATTTTGTTTTCCATATTGTTTATTATTCTTTGTATTATTTGTTAATAAAAATTATAAAAATAATAATAATAATAATAATAATAATAATAATATTATTATAATTATTATTATTATTATTTTTGTTGTTGTATTAAAATACAAATTATTTATTTTATCATTATTTCCTTTTATTATTAAAACTTATTATTATCATTATCTAAATACCGTCATTACCTTTGTATAATCTAAAAATTATCATTTTAATTACAGTAATCGATACAATAACGATAAACTGCAACTGTGGTAATTAATACATTAACTGAGTTACTGATCTGAGAGATGTTTCACTCGGCGGCATAAATCTGCTTAATTACCCTCGGATAATTAGGTTTCGAAACCTAATATAACTATTATTTAAATTGCCTGATTTGGGTTCCCTATTAAAGATTATCTGATAGCGAAGGATTTAATTGCTTTGCAATTATTCCAAAAATCTGCCACCGAGTGTTTCTCTTTTTTCAATTATGAAATGAGACAATAATTGTGTGTGCTGCTCTGTCGGGATTGTTAAATGGTATTGACAAATTTGTAATCTTAATTGGGTTTTTTTAATTGGGTTTGTTAATTGAGATTGCTAATCGGAATGGTTAGTTTTGGATTGGGACTGAATTGGAAAAATCGCTGGAGTGCGCATGACAGTGGAGATTGACTTC